CATCCATCCATCCATCCATCCATCCATCCATCCATCCATCCATCCATCCATTCATCCATTTTCCTAACCGCTTATTCCCTAATGGGGTCGCGGGGGGGGGGGGACTGGAGCCTAACCCAGCACTCAATGGGCGAGAGGCGGTTTACACTGTGGAAGGTCCAACAGTCCATCGCATGAGCTCAGATGACCAAAATCCATCCTCAAGACAGTTAGGAATCAGTGGAGATGCAAAAAGGTCAAAGGTCACCCTTAAAAAACTGCAATGCATAAACTTTAGCGTCTGTTCGTAGGACCAAGAAGCTGCTGTATACTCTCTAAGACATGTTGAGAGAACTTCTGTCCGTTTGGGAGTGCATTTGAAATTACGGGCCAACAAGAAAAAACCACTGCGTTGTGTACCAAAAAGAGTTCTGCACAGTGAAGCATGGCAGTGGAGGCTTCATGGTGTGGTTATGCTGGTTGGTGTTCTATTACATACAACCGCAGAACGGATCAAACCTAAAGAAATGTTACGAGCAGGGTGATAATTATGGGTGTATCCACATGGCAAATGAAGTCAACTTCATTTAACTTTCTAATCTCCACTCTTTTTCTTGTGTTTCACAGTTTAAAACCTCCCGTGCTTTCAATGTGCACGTTGCATTTATCAAACTATTCCAAATAGTCAAAAATCTTCTTTTTATTCCTTGTTGTAAGGATGAAATTAGTAAATACAGTGTTCAAGACTGTTTGGACGGGTTAAAACACAAACAAAAGACACAACTACTAATGTTAACCATTAATCAGAACAACAAGGAGACTTAGTCTTACAAGACTCTTAGCCCAGGTCTTCATATTAGAATTTCATAACATATTTTTTTACTTTGTTTCTCTTTCAGAATGGGAATCAGTATTATTGCGAAGTATACTTTCAAATATGAAGAACTGTTCTGGTGATTGGTGCATGGGGTAGATTGATGGTGACTTTCAGTGGATTTCTGAGCTTGGGGAATGATTTTCTCATTAGAGCCTCAGCAATGATGGTGACACTTGTTTTTGCAGCCCAATGTGTTCCCAGTCATTCATATTCAAGGCAGTGTGTGCACAGTGGCACTCCAAAGAAGGTTTGTATTTTCTCAGGATTGGAAATGGGGCAAACGCCAGTGTCCAACACATCTTACTGGTTTGTAAATTAACTAATATGTTAAAAAAAACTCTTTGTTAATTGACAAGTTGAAGTGATTCCAGTGCCAACCGTTGTGATTTTGGGTAGTCTTTTCCTCTTCAGCTCTCCATGCTCTTGCGCTAAACTGATTAACCTCAACCTCTGACACTCTTTGCACAATTCTTAGCAAGAGTCCCTCTGCTTCTGAGAGTCCCTTTTTCCTGATATTCCTTGCATTTTACCTGGAAAGCCACATGTCCACCACAGATTATGTTAGAAGAATGTGTTTTCGGTATTTTTACACTAGTGTGTAAATAAAGCCAACTCAACCGTGTGTCTACAAAAACAGAGCGAATTAATATATTCCAACAAACAAGTCTTACTTCTGTTTGGAGGCCGTTTCTGGAAAAAAATCAATCCCGTGTTTCATTCGATGAATTCCAACAAATCACTGTAAACCCCAGGAAGCCCTGTCCACAGCACGTGTTTAATTTCTGTATGATTTTATACTTTAAATAAAGCTGTGAAACTCCTGTAAGTTACAGAAGATAGAAAAGCATTGTTGGGGTTTATGATTCTAACGAGTTGTTCTGTTGAGATGCTCAACATGTGCATCTCGAATTCTTCTTGGTAAGCCTCTCTTGGCTTTAACCTCCTGTCCATGCCGTGTGCTTCTGATATTTCACCTGCTTCTACAGTGCTTTTCTTCTGCTTCCTATCTGGCATGCCTGCAACTTTCTTTTTGTTTGGCACTCGTGTGTCTGTGTTTTTGGTTTGGAATTCCAAATAAACACATCCTTCCCTTCAGTGTACATTCTAAAAAAACTAGAATTTACAAATGCACATTATGTATTGAACAGAAATGTATAAATAATAGGGCTCACTGACAGAAAAAGCCAAAACTTAAGAAGATCGTGTAAGTGTTGATGAGCTCTCACAGAAGCCAATTATCACTTGCTTTCTGTTCAAATTGTGCTTCTATTCCATCACTGTAGTTATTGGGGGAAAATAACTTGTGTGTAGGTCCTTGTAGTTAAAAGACACTTATTTTTTTATCATAATGAGCTTGGATGAATGTGATTTGACTATGGTCTATGGCTTTTTGTGATTTCTGAAGGCAGTATTGAAAATGAATTTCACCTATCTTCAGTAATTGTTTTTTTTTCTATTTGTTGTTTATGTCTGTGCACCGGGATAAATCCCCCAGTAGCTCTTTAATGTTTGCCCAATTTACAGAGCTGCAACAGAGTGTAAACACTGGAACATACTTTCAGTGTACACTCTGAACCAAGACACCTACTCCACATTCTTACAGATTCATCACTTGGAGTTGTTGGCAGTTTTAAATCTTTTCAAGAGTTCCGAGTCATGATTGGTGTTTGGTTCTGTTCTGACTTCTAGGCAGGGCTTGAACGGCTTCCGGGATGTCAGGGGCAGAGTCAGGAGTGCAAAGGCCGGCGTACATACAATCTATTTACACTTATTCGGTGTTTGCTTTTTAAGGAGATCTAGTCTCTGTTACCATCCCTGTGGAAATCAAGGCTCAGGCTGAGCTGGTTAGAATGCCAAACCTCAAGACGACTTACCTCTTGTCTCCTGTGGTTCTAGTCCTGCTGCTCCATGTGGTTATTTGTTTCTGGACTCTGCAAACTCTCAGAGTGGATCTCTGGTCCTACAGAAATGTTGACACCATCCAACCATTGCCTTCTGCCTGCTCATCTGTTGCTTTCTGTGACACACCGATCCACAGTTTGCATTCACTGACATACCCCCTCTCTGTGGGTTCCATCTCTAGCCACAACCTTCCTCGTCCTGTCCAGCATAATGGTAAACAAAATACTACTCTGACTTCTCTGTTTATACCAAATATTTTTGCTTTACCAAGGTAGACGTAATACCTAGACGGTATATCATCACTCCATTTTTCCCATTTAGGTTTTAGGGGTCATATTTAACTATTTTTATATTTTAGGACTTTCACTCACTGCTTGTGAATTGGCTCCTCAGTAATTCACACTGGATCAGTAACCTGCACTGTGAAACAGGTTGAGTTTGATCATGTTAACTTTGGGTTGACCAAACACAGTCTATAATTTATTATACTGAAACGGTGAAAAAATATTACTTGTGACAAAGAAGTTTTATAAGCTGCCAACAAGATGGAGAGAGAAAGAGCATGTGCAGCCAACAATGTAAATGTATGATTAATACAATGTTCAATAACACCACTGTGTCAAGAACACAAAAGTAGATCTAATTGATTTGTGATTGTAAGTATTTTATTTGAAAAATGTATCTCCTTTGTTCTGTCATATCTATTATTAGCGGCTCTAAACAATCTTCACCACTAAAATAGCTCCAAATAACAAGTGGAAATGAGAGTCAAAGTCCACCATTTTTTGATAATTAGTCATTCTAATTGTTGGAAGAATTTTAAACTTTTTAAACTGTAGTTGAGGAAAAGAACTGGAATATATTAGCAAAAAGTTTTAGCTGGTATGTTCCAGTTCTTTCACTTAATGTAAACATATCCACTGACAATCTCGTTTTTCGATTCCGTTTTTCCGTTTATAATGTCTGTTTTAATGCAAAGATTACCTTATCTTTATAGTCCCTCCTTTACCTGTCAAAAAATAAAAAATAACTCCTTTGCGCATGCGCTCTTTCCCTGTAGGTCACGCGAAACCGCATTACACATAGTTCACCCTCCTCTAAAAGCGATGGGGAAAAAAACAAATTTCGCTATGAGTTAAAGTGACGACCATTCAGATTCGCGTGGAATTGTTTCGCAAGTCTTTATACGTTCCGTTTAACTAATATTTTTGATGTTGTTTGGATGAACGACTTTTGAAAGTTGCAGCTCAGACACGCAGGGCGCTAACTTGTGGGATTAGTTTGCATGCAGTCTGGCAGCGGAGGCTGACAGCGGTGGGATGGGCTGTGAGGTGTTCAAGATGGCGGCGCCCTGTGGAGTGCATCTACTCTAACAGGTAAACAGGTCTACTTATGTACGTATAATGTTTAATGTTTTCGCCAAATATGAATGCACATGAAATATTGAACTCAACTCAAAGTGTTCCGTTCGCTTTTTCGCTGATTGAAAATACTGACAAGGCCAAATGAAACCTCTACCGTGAGAGGTTTGCTGCTCCCAGCTAACGTTAGCTGTCGGCGGTGGGGTTGACTTGTTTTTGACCCAGTGATGGTTTTCTGGGATGTTTAAAATATTTCATCGTGGGTTGTATCTGGGTGTTCTTGAGATGTATAGGCGGCTGTCGGTTTTCCTCAGAAAAGAAGCGTCCCTATTTTTCATGAGCGGTCAAAGTAAACCCGACCCTCCCCATTGTTCTCAGCGAGTTGTTTACGACAGGCTGTGGTCACTCCACATAAAGCAACTGCTCCTCAGCTTCAGACCTCAACCTGCCCGGACTGTCCTCTGCTGTCCTTTTTTTTTTGCATGTCACTGATATAATAATCTATTAGGATCACACTTGCTCACGCGACGCCTTATTATGCAAGAACCCTGGCAGCCTTTTGCAACATTGCTTGCTCTTATCATCAGGCAGCACCTTAAAAAACAAACAAACAAGCTAATAAAAAAAACAGCCAAACAGGTTTTACCCCACTTTATACATATCATTAGTGCATGGCTTTTTTGTTGTATGTCATAGCTCTACAGTTCTTCTACTGCTATTGAAACAAATGAGTGACTAGTTTCAGGTTGGCCTCCACCACCTCTGTCACCATGTCACCATCCCCCAGCCTCTTAAAACGCTTGCATTGTGTTACAGTAGCTTTTCAGGCTTTTAGGTGTTCTCCAGTAATGTAACGCAACACCAGGCACTTTCAAATGTGACTTGTTTTTATTTCAAGCAGTGTTAATTAATCGACAGTACTCTAATTTTTACCTTCTAAAACCAGCTAAAGCGGATCAAAGGATCAGACTGGCAAGTGTGAATAGTTCATAAACAGTTTTATTTGTTTCTTCATCCATAATACATATTTGAAATGTGGTGTGGTCATTGAAAAATTTGCACCTGCCTACACGGTGACTATGACTGCATAGCTGTTGGTAGTTAGGCTTTGAATAATGTTTTAGATTTTTAAAAGTATGTATTAGGTTGATATTACGATCCTATTGTTGGTCCCCAAATATCAGTTAAAAGTCTTACTGTTTTCAATACACATTGGTACATCTGTAAAACCAGGCTTACTACATATACACACCATATAAATTATTGAATTGTGTTGGGTCCTTACAGAGACAGAACGCATCAGATTAATTTGATCTGATCTGTGCTTAGTATCCGGTGTAAAAAGTGGGGAAAAGAGAAACTCAGAATAAGATTGAAATAAAGCTCAAATTAAGATTTCTCTGCTTTTGAAACACGTGTAAGGTAAAAACATCACAAGTGTTTATGTGGTCGTACAATTGTCGAAGCGTGTGACTACAACACATGCTTGGGATTTCTCACAGTGATCACCCAACCTGTCACCTGAGCATAGGTCCATAAAATGACAGAGTAAGACTTTATGCAACTATACATAACCCTCTGGGGATTCACTTTGAGCAAAATTTGCATGCTGAGAAGAGTCGCTGTGTCATACCTGCTGACCTGCAGTTGCTTTCTCTCACCTGTTCATATTATTTAGAGTCATCATTCCAAATGCATAAGGAGCTAAGTCTGCCATCTATGGCCATGTAAAAATACCCCCCCCCCAAAAAAAAAAACCCCAAAACAAACGCGTTTTTCGATTGCTGTGAAGTCAGTGTCTTTAATGGCAACAACAGAGAAAGTCGGATCATAATTGCTTGCACATTTTTCAGGAATCTGGTGTCCGTGTTTGTTAAACAGGGGGAGAACTGTTCGCAGACATGAATCTATTAACATAACGAGTTTTGTTCATAAAGGGGTGAATGAGGTTTGAGATTCCCAGAGAATTTAGAGGTTTTGAATTGCAGATTATTACAAGCTCTCACTCTTGTTTTTCTATTTTATTTTCTTTCAAATGATTCGATTGACTTATTGGTTCCAGTTGAGCTACATGTGTAAATGTAAAGATTGAATAAGAGTTTTATTTTGCTGTGCATGTGATTGGGCTAATTTTTTCAGGATTTTGATTGTTATGCTTGTTACACAATTAGTGATGTTTCTCTTGTAAAAGCTTTTTCTGTAAGTTGTAAGCTTTATGACTTTGTTATATGCATTGCCAACCATACTTTTCCATTCAGTCAGAGGTCTTTCACTACTCTCTCTTATGACTAAAAACTAAAGCTTATCTCACTGGAAACATGATGGGAGCTATTTTCTCACATTTTACTTTAAGACAACAGTGTCCAGCAGCTCGACAGTTTGGTTGGCAAAAATAATTTATTTAAATTGCCCAAACAGGTTATTTATCTCTTTTATGGTGGTGCTTTTGAATATTCTCGCTGGAGGATACGGGACTGCTGATAACAGCTCGCACATGGTCAAATGTAATTTCCAGTGTGTACACAGAAGGGCACAGGCTGCATAAAGGTTCTTTGTGTGCTCCTGAGTATTCACAAGCAGCATGAGATCACACTGAGTTTAGCTCTTGTTTGTGCCACTGACCTGGCCCTGCAAGGCGCTGATGTTTGCCTCAACTTTCCTCAACAGAAATCCCAACCCAGTGATTCGGCATTTTATCGATGACCATGAGACTTTTGTGCCTAACGACAGAGTGTTAACAAACGTGTGCCTTTATCTGCTAGAAGTCCATGTTTCTGGTTATAGGGCTGGTTAATTTTTATGTGATAAAAGTCTTCAGTAGAGGCACACCAAATTTTGTTTTTTTATTCAAGCTGCACTCCAGTTGAACTGCGATTATCTCAGTTTTTTGAGCAAGTAACTCATGGTTAGTAATACAAAAAGATGGGCATATTAGCATTATTCTCTAAAGCTTTTGGTGATTCTGTCACTGCTGAAGGAAGATCTTGCTGATTCATTCTTTCAGTGAGTGAATAAGCTGCTGGGCACCGACACCCTGACGATAATGACCTGTCCGTCAGGATTATTTATGCTTTTTTTTTTTTTTAGATGGAGATTTACAGGGCTTCTGTGGCCTCCTGTTCAGATTTAAAGTATTACAGATGACACAAACAGCCCAATAATCTGAAAAGGCCAACACTTTACATCTAGTTGTGCTTACAAACCTGTGTTTTTTCTGGGCCATACATGGAGGATTTGAATGGGTTTCTTTATCAGGGTTCAATAAGAGGTCATACATTTACATCTGATAATCTGTTTGACTGAATGTTTTGTGTGTGTGTGTTGGGATTGTTCTTGTTTATAAGGTTTTGCTGTCTTTGGTTATAGTAGATTTAACTAGTCACTAAGGCTGGTATGGAACAATCCAGGATTAATGTCCAGTTTTTTTATATTTGGTGTGACGTCTCTATTTGACCTCAGTTCATTTGTTTCCATTTTAATTTGTCTGCTATTGTGTCTCTTCTTATATTTCATGCAAATTCATTAGCAGCCTGCACTTCCATATCTAAGTCAAAATGCCAGCTGGAATCCTAATTCTTAAATCCATGTAGGACCCAACATTGTGCTCAGGATTATCATTCTTACCTATCAAAGCCAGTCCAACATCAGGTCAGAAACAGGAAGTTATCAGTGACATCCAGATGTAAACAGGTGTGTGAAGCATGGTTTTGGCACCGTGCCTTGTTTAGGAGTCCATCACATACTTTGATGGTTTTCATAAGCGCTTGTTCTAATTGTTAAGTAGGTGATCCTTTCGTGGCCCTTGACAAATTTACAGCCACACTGCTCCTGTAACAGTATTATTATTAGAGGGGTTGAAATATGTGAACTCTGAAGATTTGCCAAAAAAATTAAGTTCACCCTAGAGTTCACATTAGAGAGGTCAGTCTTTGCTTTCAAATGTGAGCTGCTACGTTTGTTGTGTGTTGGTAAAATACATATAAAGCACGAGCATTACAGTAGACACACCAAGTATATGACAACACATGTTCCAGAAACATACAGCATATACATTAAAGATTGAAAGGCTGTAAAGAGGCAGTCTGAAGCAACTGAAATGTTTACAAAGATGTTTCTGGTCAGCATACAAAAGAAGCTCAATGTTAAGAAATGCTTTCAGTCCAATAGAAATGCGGTGGGAATTTGATGAGCTGTTCCCTGGAACAATTGTTCCGTTTCCTAAAGCTGATGTGTGGCACTGATAATCCTTTACCAGAATAGTTACACTGCGTTTATTTCTGCACGGGCATGCCCCAACACATATTTCCTCAAATGATGAAATCATCCAAAAGGTTCACATGCTGTCAGGGCCAGATGATGCCTTGTTTGCACAGCAGCGCCGGGGCTCTTTGTTCACCGGTGCAGCTCAGCAACCTGCAGACGCGATGCCACGAAGTCGCTGCGGCAAACACATTAGCAAGAACCTGCTTTGATTCACTTAGCTTCAATCTCCCCACCGCCTGGGGGAAATATATGGCTGTTAGATACTAGACTTGCCCTAGTTCTAACTACTGCTGGACAATTGTGAATTGGCAGAGGTGCCTGGAGACTGTATCGGTGGGTGGGCCCCAGGAGTCCTCCAGGCAAGCAGGGACGGACGCTGTGACCAAGGCAGCCTCCACCTCCAGCACTGCCACCACCATGGCCAGGGAACAGCCCAACGTGGGGGACCTCCTCCCACACCTGGAGACCTCAGACCTCCACCAGCTAGAAGAGATCAGAAGCCTTATCAACGAGCAGCTCAGCACCGGTAGCCGTTCATACGAACTTTGAATATCCATGCTGATGTGCCCGTTTTGTGTGCCAGCCTTATCAATGTGTGGTAATCCCCTCTGTTCTCCTTGAAGAGCGTGGTTCGATGCTGCTGAATGGGTTGGTGGATTACTTTTTGGAGACAAATTCTGCCCAGGCCATGCATATCCTGTCTTCTGTCAGAGAGCCACATGATAAGGTGAGAGCCACACCAGCGAATTTCCATTCCGACCCCCCCTCCTCATCCTAAAAAAAAAAGTGCTGCAGTATTTAATACTCCATTCATGAGAGGTGATGAACCCAGTGGAAAACATTCCCCAGTTTCAACACCATGAAGAAGTTGTTCAAATTTAAGTAATACTTTATATGTGAATACATTGTAAACTATTGCATTATCACATATTTGTATTTGAATACAGCACCTTCTAGACAAGATGAACGACTGTATGACGAAACAGGCCTGCCGGCTGCCCACCCTCACCCTGCTCGGCCATGTAGTCCGAAAGCAGCCGTCCTGGATTCACAAGATCGCTCGCTACCCTCTGCTGCTCTCACTGCTGAAATGCCTAAAGGTAACCGCTAAGCAGCAGATTTTGAGTTGTTTAGTGTTTTCCATTCCAACCTTCAAGATCTGATCCTCCAAAACTGGATGGCTAGCCTATTTTTAACAGATGTTTGTATTTGTTTGTGTCACATGTTTGATTCAAGCAAGTACTCAAAGTGTGTGTCCACGTTCCTCAGTTTGGCAGCTCAAACTGGACAGAAGCTCAAAGTGATGCAGTTTACATGCTGGATTAGATGGTCCAGGCGGAAGCGTTTGGGGAGTCACCGTTTAAAATGTCTTCAAACATTTATTTCTCCTCTGGCCGGATTAAAATCAATCATATGATTTTTACTCTTGGTCTCACACTGCGTACGGCTCAAAATTCGGTTTTGCTCCTTACCTTAATTTAGAAGCACGAAAACAGCTTCACAGAACTCTGCGCAACTGTAGCCATGTAGTCTGTCTGAAACAATTGCAACACTGTCACCACTATCTGTACACTGCGGTACAAACAAGAGAGAGTTTCCACCATGTGATGTGTCGAGCGAAAAACAAATAATAAAACTCAAGAGTAGGTTTGAATCATTTCAGTGACTGAACAAAGAAGCCACTCCTGCCCGTGCTTTAACCTTTTTTTTGGCCAGCAGTTATGTTTTATTGAATTTTTAAAAAAGAAATCCCTTTTTGTGTCTCATAGTTCTAAGCCTAAAAACCCAGGTTTTTGTTATTCTCCTGGCAGACGGATACAGATGTAGTAGTGCTCATCACCGGAGTGCTGGTGCTCATCACACTGCTGCCCATGATCCCTCAAGCTGGAAAGCAACATCTGTGGGAGTACTTTGACATCTTTGGTCGCCTTGCTTCGTGGAATCTTAAGAATCCAGGTAAAAGCTCCTGTCAAATCTTTGGGGGGGAAAAAAGGAGATGTTTCATTGTTTGTGATATGATGTAATAACCTGATTTGGTAGCTCGCAGTTATTAACGTTAGTCTGTGTTTGCCTTTGACTTGTGCTTTTCCTTCATCCATTCACCTGCCTAGTCTATTTTTGAAAAAACAATGGGCCTGTATTCCATGGAGGACTCTGAAGTTACTTTGAAACAAAGCCTCGGTTCATGAGGTTAAGAGAATAGTCCAGCCGAAAAAGTCCCTGTTTTAAAGGAAAACCTCATGAGCAGGCTCCTTGTAGATCTTGATTTCAATTCTCCAATGGAGCAAGAGGATGCTCTCCATTTTAAATCTTTAACTTTGAAGCTATTTTCTTTGGGACAGTCAGTCCACACTAAAAGAAATAAAATCTTAAGAGGCAAACCAAAAATTTCCGATGTGATGCTGACTTTAAACCTTATGCTCATGCTTGTTTATTTTCTCCCTTTTTTAAAAATCTTTCCACCCAGGACATGTTTCAGAGGTTTACCTAATCCACCTGCAAGCCAGCGTTTATTCACTTTTCCACAGACTTTATGGCATGTATCCATGCAACTTTGTGTCCTACCTACGCTCCCATTACAGTATGAAGGAGAACATGGAGACTTTCGAGGAGGTGGTGAAGGTGAGTGCGTTACTGATGCCGGTGTGCTCGGCTGCTCTTCACTTGGTTTGTTGATAAATGTCCATTTTGTGGCCTCCCTGCAGCCGATGCTAGAACATGTCCGCATACATCCCGAGCTGGTGACTGGTACAAAGGACCATGAGCTTGACCCCACCAGGTTAGTGGTGACCCCTTCTTTGCTTGGATGAAAAAGAAGAACCACTACAGTTCTCTGCCTAAACGTGCAATCCTTTTTCTTCAGGTGGAAAAAGTATGAAATCCATGACATCGTCATTGAATGTGCCAAAGTGTCTCTAGACCCCAAGGAGGCATCCTGTGAGGAGGGCTATGCCACCATGCCTGAGAATTTTTACCCCCAAGTCCACCTTCGACCACAAGACTGCACATCAAGCCCCTACACAGACCTACAGAGCAGCTATGGTCAGCAAATATTAGATACATATATATATTCAACCAAGTATTTACATAAAAATAGATCAATATTTTCAATGGATGGATTTGTCCAAAAATGTTTAGTTTTAATTTATTTAATATCATTATTAGTCTGTAAAGATACCAGTTAAAGAATGAAGTAACTAGAAAATTTAGGATGAGCTCAATTTAGGGAGAAAATCTATGGCTCTCCCCACAGTCAGGCTCAGAGTCACAAAAGCAAATCTCTGTAAGAGCCCTTCAAATGCACAGTAGAAGGCAGGATTTTCTTTTTCTTGTTTGAGAGTCTAAAAAGATTACATCAAAGTTTACAAAAATGTCAAGTGAGCACAAAACAAAATTTTGTTGTTCTGGGGCTGGAAATCAAAAGTCATGAACATTGGTTTCTCAGGCCCCTCCAGGGCAATTTCTGGTTCAGAATTGTGCACAACAAAAGCAAATATGCCCTGAAATGAGTCGAATTTATGCATTTGTAAAGTCCACAAACTATTCAAGTGTTGCATCAAAGATTGTTTTGTCTAACTGATGTGGAGCACTTATACTGTCCTGTGCTGCAAAGCATCACCAAAAGAATACCATAAAAGCAGTGGTGTGCTAATATTGAGCATCGTTATACACAGGCCGTGTTTTGGAAATTCAACTCTCACTAACCCAGTTCATTAGAACAAAATTCAAATGTCAACAGACAGAGACTAAAAAACTAGACGGGATGTGAGAAATGTAGTGTTAAGATACCGAAGGAAAATGATTTACACATAGTGGAGTGTTGACAGGAAGCTGCAGTCAACTCAAAGATTACTTAGAAAATATGACTGTGTGTTTTTTGTTCTTCCATCCTTAAAGAAACTAAAATTTAACATGGGTTGAGCAGTTTATGACTGAAGTTTTTGGGTGGGTTTTATGTTTGCTGCTGGAGCTCAGCTGTTTCATTTAAAGCTTTACTACCTTAATTTTAATGCCAAATATTTGATTTATTCATAATATGATGCAATATAGTGTAAGAGTATAGTTATCTATTTAAATGAAAATAAGAGAGCAAAGAGGGCCCAATGTGTTGACTTAATCCATTTGAGGATTGATCAGACTATTTGTCTTCTTGATTACAGGAAGCTCTTCTTCAACCCCATTTTCGACTCCACGCCAGCCACTACCACCACCCCTGTCTTTGCCCCCCTTCTCAGGGACACAATCTTCATACCGCAGTCCGCAGACCTCCAGACGGCAGGTAAGCCCATGATCAGATGGTCAGAGGCCCAGTCACCATGTCTCTGCTTACTGTTACAGTGCTTCCCCCTTCCCAGCTTTACCGGAATTGTTTCTTTATTTACATAGAAATGTCAGTTTTTACCAGAAGTTCATTTTTCAGTGGGAAAATAGAAGAAGCCCACTGGTAGAGCAACAATCGTGTGAGTTCAGGGAGACATTTAAATGTCTGGGAAGGGCAGAGTCAAAGCCAAGACCCCATATTTAAATCACTTAATATACTGTACTGTATAACCACAGAATCCAGCCATAAGGAGTTGGAACAGTGGAAAAATGGAAGAAGACTGGACATGCCAAATTTTTCTATATCTCCGGAGGCTTACAGCTCTAACTGCAGCAAAGAGTAGGCTTTGCTGCAATAAGTATTGACTTTACACATTTAAATGCTTAAAATCCACAGCTGGCCTTAATAAGAGCAATACATATCCTTCAGGGATTGTTTTTTCTCATGAAGTTTGGGTCATGGTTGGATCAAGCTAAATGAATTACAACTCCTTTGAATCATACAGAGGCACCAGGAAAGTTTGGTTGCCGTGGAGATCTTATCTTTCCCACTGGGTCAGCTTCATAAGGGAGGAGTCTGGGTGTTTTTTTTACTCTAGGGGTCTGTTTGAGGATTTGTGTCTGGGTTATCCTCTCACTGACTCAGACAGGCAGAAAATCTGGGAATTGCGTTTTTTTCTGACCTTACAGGGAAGATTTACAGACTTATTGACTCTTGGTGCTCCCCGACACTTTTTTCCTACTGTTTATTCATGATATTGAGTATTGTAAACAGTTTATTTCGGTAAAGTCACCAATTCAGCACAGAACCCCTACACATCTGGATCACCGTTGCTGCGTTTAGAATGGAAAAAAAGCGTCACACACTTCAGCCTGAAGAGCTAGTCTCCAGCTTCCACTTTTTATTCTTATATTTTTACAAGAATATCTAAGCATGTACTTTCTCTCTTTGCAGAACTCCACCTGTGAACTGAACTCTTCCTGTGGGGGGAAGGATCCTCTCTGGAGCCCCACCTCGCTGTGTGGCATGGCCACGCCTCCATCCTCAAGGGGCATGTCACCCAACCTGGAGCTCTCCCACAGTGCCTCGCACCTTCCCAGCCGCTTCCACAGCACGTCAGGTGCAGGCTTCATCTCTCTGAATTATGTCACATGCTTGTTTATTATCTATTGCCAAAGTGACTTATGTTTTTTTTTTCTTTCCAAGCAGGGGGTAAAGGAACACCTGCCTCCAGCACTCCAGCCACTTCATCCCCTCCTCCTACCCTATCAGATGACTTCCCCATAATCTTCTTACCAGCCAACACAGTCCAGTCTAGTCCACCAAGAAAAGTATGCTGTGTGCACAAACTCTTTGCCAAGCCAATTATGTCATTTAAACTGTAAACGCCAGGAGTAGGAGTTGTACCAGTTATTTCACATGCTTTAGTAGTGCTTCTCCTTCACTTTGGAGGTGGTGGTGTGGGGGGGAAATTGTCATGGGAATTTGATTAGAGGCACAGAGGAAAAAAATAAGTTCATAATTAGTGTGTCGATTTTCAGGATCGTCGGCAAGGAGAAACAAGTAAGCCTGCACTGGTAAGACAGGAACCAGTCAGAGATGCGGAGAAGAATTCAGATACAGCAACTAACAGATCAGCCGGTCAGTTGTCATTTGTTTCATAGTTTCAATAGTTTTAAAAAGGTAACATTTTTGCTCGATAAACTTCCCAGACATGAATCTATCATCAAACCAGCATTTGTTATTTTTCATTTTTTTTATCATTGTTATTTTGTTTTTGATTATTTCAGATACAAAAAGTGCTGAGAACATCTCCATGACCCTGACAGAGTTATCAGTTTTTATGAAGAAGCAGGAGCTGGACCTTCAGCTGCGAACAGAAAAAGAGAAAGAGGATGGTGAGTGTGTCACTTCTAAAAATAGATCCCGTTTACACTGCTAGTAATTCGCCAAAAATCCAGTGACTGTACAGTAGTCATAGAGAGACAGAATATTCAAAGACTCATAACATTCTGTGATAGTTTAGATAACTATTACACTATGAGAGCGATTTCATGGAAATCATTACATCAGTGTTAATGCCCCGTGCCTTGGGTGGTAATTGGTTTAAATCCACCTTAAGCCACAAAAAATAAAGGCATAGCAGATCTGAGAACTTCTGCCTGAACCTAAAGTTGTGAAAAAAGTGTGTGTGATCGGTGCGTGATAAGCCGGTGTATGTTTCTGCCGCAGCTGCCATCACAGAAGAGCTGATGAAAATCACTGAAGATAAGCAGGAGAAGGAGATGTCGGGCCTGAGGGGCTTCGACTCTCCATTCTGTCACACCACCGAGACTCTCACTGGCTGTCAGGCACAAGACAAAGCCCTCTCCAACCCCCAGCCAGGAGGCGCCGTCCAAGAGACGCACCACGCTGCATCGACACCAGACAAAGCAGAAGTCACCGCAAGCAGCAGCGGCGTCGGCAGCGAAAGAGGAGGCGGAGGAGACGGCAAGAGTTCCGCCCTGGAGCAGTCCTGGTCCTTCCAGTCCTGCTTCACGCCCATTGATCACCACCTCCACCGAAGCCCCTCCGCCCCCGACGACGAGGTGAGCAAGTTCGGGATGTTCTCCCCGAGCCCGTGCAGCAAGACCCCGGCCCCGGTCCCCTACGAGTCGCTCTTCGACATGGCCCTGCCCAGAGCCGCCTCGCTGTTCTTGAGCCAGAAGACCTCGGAGGCCGTGCACAAGGCAGCGATGGAGAGGCTGCTGCAGCGGGAGGAGGGGCTGGAGGACGGGGATGAGGAAGGGCTGGTGTCTGCTTCGCCACTGGAGGTGCTGGATCGCCTTGTTCAGCAGGGAAGTGACGCCCACGATAAAGTTCTCAAGAGGTGAGAAAACCTCCTTTAAACAGTGTCTCGGTACCTTAGTTTTAATGGTTTTGTTGAAATGACTGGAGATGGTTTTTTGTAATGTTTTGAACTAGATTGACCTTTTTATTCCTTTAATTATGCATGAAGAAGTAGAGTACTCGAGCCGTTTTACAGGTATCAGAACTGAAATCACTGTGCTGGTGTGCAGAGCCTGCGTGGGCTGTTTTGTTCTGTTGGTGTAGGCCAAAGGAAACACCCAGTTTAGAACAAGGATAACATTGTTAGGAATCATCCTCTTTTTTTATGCACATGCGCACGCACACACATCAAGCCAGACCTCTATGCCAGAGTACAGTGAACAGAGAACAGTGGGTTCAAAACCGTCTTAGATGTTTTTGGAGCTCATAGCCAACAGCCTCCCTCTGTCAGCCACATTAGACCGAGGTTGTAAAAGTCAACTTGCACTCAGTTGTAAGTATGACCAAGAGAAATCCCCAAAAAGCTATTTTGTAATCATGTGGTAAAAGCATAATCTGCACGAGTTTGAGAACAGCAGATTTACTAGTGACATTAATTACAGCCTTAAGACAGAATTTTATTCATATACTTTTCGACGGTGTGAATCAGCCCGCGGATACTTTCCTGTTTTGCTTACCCAGACTCTTTTATTTGCTTTTTTCCCTTCAGTTTTGAGCGCACAGCATGTGTTCCTACCCAAAAAATGTTTAGAATACTAATTGGTCAGACCTGAATATGTGTTTCCCCGGTGAGATGGTCCTTCCAAGATCCCTCTCACCCTAGAGAAGTCCGTTATTAATGAATTATGCATCTTAGATCACAAGTTCACAGTTTAGACTCACAGACGTGGTACACAGCAATTCCCTGTTTTCTTTAATCTTTTCATTATAGCATACATAGCCAAAGAAATCGGGACGTCTCTCCAATAGTTCATTGAGGGACATTTAATCTGTTATTTTTTGCCTGCATGTATTGACTAAGTTAAGATTTCCACAGCTCATTTTAGTCCTCTACTGAATGCTACTTTCTGAACTAAAGCATGACTGCTGCGTTGGAATTTTTTTCCCCTTTTTTTTCCCTTCATATCATACCCTAATTAGCCCCCAGAATTTAGAGTTTTGTTGGAATGGATTTCACAACTGAAATTCAGAATTGGATGCATCATTAACAACAAAACAACATGATGCATTTTGGCTTCCTTCTATCTTTGGTTGCATAAAAATAGCATATTTTTTTATTCATACACCGTTTGCTATACTAGCAAAACAATTTAGGTAATGTGCCAGATGTAACATTTTATTTAAACTTTTAAATTGAGTTGAATTTAACAGTTTTTTTAATTAAGCTAAGGTGATTTTCATCAACTCCACACTGATCAACGTAACGTACGATGTCCTGTACATTATGATAAAATTGACCAATGCCATTTCCAGAACCTCATTGTTACATCTGATCAAATACATGGTGTCTGACCTTTTTTTCATTCTCTCCCTCTACAGATTACCTTTGCCAAGTAAGTCAGCTGACTGGACACATTTTGGAGGTAAAACACTGTAAACGACTTTACAGTGAGGGTGGGTGATCGCATGACGTCAGGGATGGTGAAAATATGGCTCATCAATAGCATATCAGAGGAATGCTGCAGATTGTTGGGCTTGTTAGCGCAGACAGTCCTTTAACAGGTCTCCCAGCTTTAAAGAAACCCGTCCAGATCCTCTGTAAAATATAATAGATTAATCATTTGGTCATGTTCCAGACTCTCCATCAAATGATTTTCAGCCCTGATGTGTTTCGCTTTTTTTTCCTTTTCCAAAGTAAAATCTCGACTGGTTTTAACACAATGATGGTGTCACTCAGTGGACGTACTACGTCATAATGAATATTTTTAATTACAATATAATTTGACAGAAAGCTGAGAAGCAGATCTTCTCACAAGAAGCAGCAAAGCTGCATAGATGCAAATCAGCACCTCAGGTTAGAACTTTAGGAAAACTTTGTTTCCCTGCAGCCGTTCGAGCAACGTGATGAAACAAGTTCAACTAAATCTTTAACGGAGAATTGGGATTTGGATCATGACTCGCAATTCCACCTCAGGAAGACACCACATGATTTCCCACCACTGAGTTGCGCACTGATAAAAGACGCTATTATAAAGACTGTAGTCAGATCATTATCTGAGCATGACTAGTGATTAGTCACAAGCTCTGAGACATGAGCAACGTGTTAAAGTGTTACCAAGTTGGAAAGGGGAATTGGTTCAGCTGAGGTTTCTATCAGAAAGAAAAAGTTCTCACAGTACCTGTTCTCAGATTTAGAAAAAATGTCCATTTGGAAATGTCTTTTCTCCCTTTTATTTTTGTGCCAGACCACAAGAATCAAATTTTCTCCAGCTGCAGAACATTAGACTGAAACTCTGCCGATGCGTAGTTACTATGTAGGAGTGGAACTATCTCCCCTGGTGGATTGATGGCAGTCATGTCTCTTCAATTGCACCTCAGACAAGTTTCCACTCTTCATGTGTGGCTAGTTTATAAAGTCTCATGCATGTTTTCCTCTTTTCCACACTTTCACAAGCAAAGCACTGTCTCCATAGTTTATCCAAGGTCACCTCAGTTATAAACCGTATAGTTGAGGACATTAAGTTTTTACCTTCAGCTTCCTGTTTGCGATAAATTCTGTTAACATTGTTTACGGCCAAACGTCGTTGGCGATGCTGCCAGCGGCAGATTGTGCCGCTTTGTTTTAGGTGTTGCAAATGTTCCCCTGCTAAAACCGCAGCAATGGCTGGAATTCCTTTTTATGTTTGGTTTGAATGAAACCGTTGCCAAAGCCCTTAATAAGCAAACCCAGGTTGACGCTTTGATTCCGTCAGCTTCTGTGGCATTCGGGCTTTTGTTTGCACGCGCGGTCGTATTAACGCCCTTATTTTATCCCTCAGGTTCAGCTCCACAGGACGAGCTTCAGACGCTGCGCAGCCAGCTGCTCCTCCTGCACAACCAGCTGCTGTATGAGCGCTACAAGAGGGAGCAGCACGCCGTCCGCAACAGACGCCTCCTCCGACGCATCATCAACGCCACCGCGCTGGAGGAGCAGAACAATGCTATGGCAAGTTTTGGCGTGGTCACAATCACAGATGGATCAAATTGGTTTTACGCCTGGCGATCAGAGAGAAATCCTGTCAACCAATCAGCCGCAACATTCTTTTTGCGAATGTTAAAAGAACGTTGCGCTTTTAAGTTTTAGTCGGAGTGGTTCCTGTGCTTCTTTTTAAAACTCGTTTATTTGTGTTTGCATGGCTGAGCAGAAGGATCAGTTGAACCTGCAGAGCGTGGACATTCTGTCTTTGAGGGAAAGCCTACAGGTGGAGCAGCAACGGTACCGGCAGCTGTGGGACGACCGCGAGACGGTGGTGACCAGGCTGCACAGTCAGATCAGACAGCTGCAGCAGGCCCGGGACGACTACTACACCAAGAACCAGGAGCTTCAGGTACACGCGCACACACACTCCCAGTGAAGACTTCAGTAGCCCTGCTGACAGTAATAATCATCAAATATGTTTGTCTGCTTCGATTTACAGAGCAAGTTACAAGAGAGTCAAAAAAAGATGGACGAACTAGAGGCAGAGCTTCAGAGGGCCAACAACAAAGTCTGCCACACTGGTCACCTCCTCAACCAGATGACTGTCAAGGTAAAGAATGATGCAATTTTAAGTCTTCAGCCTGTCACGGGCTTTGAATGCTTTACTCCTGATTTAATTTGTTTGTTTTGGTTGCATTCAGCCTCACAGCAGCCATTGGATTAAGAGATGGTCCAGTTGACTTAATGTATTCTGAGGGGTTATTTTCAGCCAGTTAGCTAGTTCTGTACAGCTTCCTACTACACCTCGTATGTTGCATTTGTATCCATTTCAGAAAAGAACGACACAATTACATACATTTAAGTTATTTTAGCTCATTTGACCTTTGCCTCATCACACTGCCTTTCTTTGTTTTTGCTTCTGGGAGTCAAATCTAATGAGCAGGTAGAGCCAAACTATGGAGCTCTCACAAAACTTGCTCCTCTCTCATTTAACTACTTTTCTGTGGACTGCTGAATGTGCCTGGTTTTGGAGATTTGGTGTTGGTCAATGACACAGCAGGACTGGATCTTTTTATGCCTCCTGGACTTTGTTCAGTGTCTATTATCCCTCTTCCAACCAAAACAGCAACAAATACATGTCTTTAGTTTAAAGGGCAGCAATACAAAGTTGCTTGGTATGCATTTTAGGCCCGAGACACATAAATAACATACTGAAAAGGAGCACTGAACTCCACAATTTAGTAGAAAAAAGAAGTCAAACCTTGTTGAGAGTGAAAACAAGTTTAGGGAATTCCTGCTGGTGGTGAGGACAGAGGCTCTTGTTGATGACAGCCTAATTCTGCAAGAATTTAGCTGACACACACCATGCTGATGCACAGTACTATTTATTGTAAGCCGCATTAGCTTTTAGCTCATGTACGTCAAACTTAAATTCAGCTGTTGTAGAGGTCTATAGAACCAGTGGAGCAGGATTCACATTACAAATGAGTGATGTACATGCACGGTTATTCACTCAAGACATTTGTCACACCATATTGAATTTTTGATAAATTTGCCTAAATCGCAGTAAAAACCTGGCATGCTGTGTGTTGATGTATTCCCAACTCCTGTCAGGCACCTTTAATTCTGAGCATTTTTGCCACTTTGCCCTCCATCGTGATTGCTTATCTCGTTTGTCCTTCAGCTGAGCAACAGTGAGAGTACCCAGCAGCAGATGAGCTTCCTGAACAAGCAGCTGCTGCTCCTCGGGGAGGCGCATAAGCTGTCCATGCAGGAGTTTCAGCACGTGGGCACCGATAACACAAAGGTATGCCGGGAGGGAGTGTGTGTGATGTGTGAAAATTGGAAGATGACGTTCTTAGGGGAAGAGAGGCACATCAGTTGTTGGGTGTTAGGTATAACTATCCCAGACTAATCCAAAAACTACTGTATAGGGGTGTTGTGCTGTACCATATTCCTTTAACAATTGTTTAGCACAACCAAAGATATTACTGCAAATAATACAAATATTTTGCTTTTCTAATGTGCCTAAACGTCCATGTTTGTCATAATCATCTTTATTCCAAATATTCTCAACAAATCTTTAGACATTTGCTTTCTTTACTTTTGTTTTCCGTATAGTTGATACTGCCCTTGTCCAGGCTCTTATCTATCTGCTTCTGTCTCAGGTCTTTAGATCAGACAAAACAATTTTACCTTTTGTCAAACTGTGTTACCTTTTGTGCTTTTGCAGGTTTATCTTTCGATGCGTTGTTCATTTGGAGTCATATTATTTTCAATTTGAATTTTTAATCTGTAGGTCAATTTTAAGTGATTAAAAAACTAGAAAAATCTCAACTAGAAAAAAGGAACAAGAAGTGTATTAAAAATAACTGAAAAAACAATAATGTCCAAAGAAAAACCCATAAAGCTAAGAGAGCTGTTGTTAAAACATTGAAACTATATAATAATAGTCAAAGTGTCTAAAGATTAATCTCTGTTTGATTTACGAGAAAACAGCCTTGTGCTCTTACGAATTAACACTATTTATTTTCTCTGTAGTTGAGGAGAGATATTGATCTAAAAAAGGAAAGAAGAAAAAAAGATTGTATGAGTGTGCATTTTAACACATTTATTCTTACTCCTTCCTACCACCATGCAGGAGGCCCTCATGCTGCAGTTGTCTTATGCGAAGGAGGTGGAGACACTAAAGCAGAGTGTGCTGGTTCAGGGACAGAAACTGGAGGCCGCACAGCAGAGAGTTGCTGAATTGGAGACTCACCTCTCCAAAAAGGAGCACCTGATCGCAGAGCAAAAGAAGTTCCTGGAAGATGTAAAGTGTCAAGCAAAGTGAGTCACTGAAACCTGTTCTCCATAAAAGATGTGCCGTTTAAAGCGCGTTGAGATGACTTTTCTCTTCTAAAGACACACAAGTTGACACTTTCTCCCTTCCTATCCGTCTCTGTTTGTCACTTTGTGTCCACAGGGCCGAGCTCCAGGCCTCAGATAGCAGGTATCGGGCTCAAAGAAGAATAACTCAGCTGCTGCAGACTGAGCTCCTGCAGCTCTACAGCCAAGTAGAAGTGGAGGCTCCGACCAGCAGCACCGCCACCAGCTCACCTCCAGGGGGCAGAGCGGACACCATCACCCCCGCAGACCCCAGGTCAGACATCTCATCCCTTAGTTTATTAGTTTATGTGCCACAGGTTATTCAGATGTTAGCGTTTGCCTCTTGAGCCGGTAATTGTTTCAGCTGATAAAAATCACTGTGTTAGTCCCTGCTGACTTTATCTTGTAGTACAAAGAAATGCTGTCATCACACCAGATTTACTCAACTGCTTGTGCAGCTGTACTCACAGTATTCTCAAGTTAATGTAATGGTATCTCTGTAATTAATCACATTTGTTTTAGTGCAGATTATGGTACAGTTCAGCACAGGTTCTGTGAAGCAGGGCGGTGCTTTCCCAGCATCACGACCATGTTAATATGGAGTGTTTATTTGAGGTAGCACATGTTGGCACACGTTTGACGTTTCATACCCAGCAAGGAGGAACTGGCAGTTATAGATGCGATCTTTCCTATGTGAATTACAATTCTTTTAAATAAACATGACATTTTCCAGTCAGTCTTTTGTGCCTCTAGAAAATGGCCCAGAAATGTTGAATGATTTCAACCTCAGATGTGAGTTTTTGGCTGCAAATACAAGCAGATTAGCAGCTGGTTTGAAAGTCAGTTTGAAACTGCTGCTTTTTTTTAAACAGTTTGCAGACAGAGTTGTGTGATCCACAAAGTCCAGGCATGATGTCTCGTTAATCTTCAAATGTCTTTCTGGTAACGATAGAAAGGAGAAGGAAGGACCAAGTCGTAACAAAACATTGGGGAAATAAGGCATTAAGCTACCACAATAAGCAGTGACCAAATTCTGAATAAATCTCCGTATATGATTTAGAATCGTTTCTTTTTTTTAATTATAAAAGTTTTACACGCAGCAGACTGACTGATCCAAAGAGGCTCAAGGTGAATCATTGAAACATCTTCATAGTAGGGTAAAATATGAGTTCTGTACACCAAAATGTTTTGCAAAAAAGGTATGTTCAGTTTTTGAATTGTTTAATTAATGTGGTAATTTTGTCATTTTGGATTTCATGTTGTAATGGCAAACACAGGATGTCACTCACACCAAAACCTTCTCCCCCCAGTGTCACAGTTCCAGATGGACCAGGTAGAGTTCACACCAAGGAGGAGATGGACAGCAGACCGCCACACGACTCCCCTCGGGGCAACGGCAGCACTTTATTGCCAGGGCAACCAAAGGCGAGCAACATTTCCAAGTCAACCGCCAACTCTTTCAACGGAGGTCAGGACATGGCCCCGCCCCTGCTGGTCGAGCCCTCTGACTCGTGTCCCCACCCCAAGCCGCTCGCACCGCTGCCCGCCTCCGACGCGCCCCTCACCGTGGGCTCGTACCCCAGCGCCAAGAGCTTCCTGGGCATGAGGGCGCGCGAGCTGTTCCGCAACAAAAGCGAGAGCCAGTGCGACGAGGAACAGCAGCAGCCGCCGCCCCCGCCCCTGGCGGGCCTCGCCCACAGCCTGAAGACTGAGCTGTGCGTGGAGCCGCCCTGCCCGGGTTACATCGCCACCGTGAGCCCCGTTCCCTCCTCACCCCCCGCCACGACGTCAGCCCCCGCCGCGCATCTCACCGCGCCCACCAAGAGGCACCCCTCAGAGCCCAAGCAGCGAGCCCTCAGCCAGGAAAGTCCCCGTAAAAAGGCAGGGGCGGGACAAGGTGGAGGCAGGGGCCAGGGGGGATCGGCCCGGCCCCGGCAGCAGCAGCTAAAGATTATGGACTATAACGAAACACATCACGAGCACAGTTAAGGACTAAAAAAAAAAAAAAAAAAAAGAGCCGGGACAAAGGGCAGACGAAAGTACAGACTTAAATTTGACAACGGAGTAAAGCTACAAATCAGCTAAAGAGTAACATGTCAGCAACTCTTTGGAATTCAGTGTTATTTGTCCTATTCCCCTTAGTGGACAACAGGATTTCCCCCCAAAGTGCTTTAACTTTGAGTTTTCTGTTTCAGACTAGTTCATTGCCCTAAAAAAAATTGAGCTGCAAAAGATACACAGCGGATGTTTTGTCATTGCACACGCAAGATGAGACTGCCAAAAATACAGCTACAGAATGTCAATATTTAAATGGTCAATTTACCAAAATTTTAAGATTTTTACCACCTAATTCAAACTGTTCTTTCTTTTTTTTTTCTTTTTTACAGTTCAAGTCTTATTTAACCCTGTTCATATGTTACACATTGAATTTTGTTTGGCTTTTTATTTTTTGTCAAATCTAAATATTAGAGTTAAGTCAGGAGGACTCACAGGGATAAACAGGCCCGCCTCTCATTGAAAACAATGCAGCCAACATTTTCAAAATGTCCGCATTATTCTTTAGTCATTCCAAAATGTTCATGAGGTGCTGTGAGCCGACTGCAGCACTGATTTATTGGACTAGTAAATTATTTGCCTAAATTCCTTTTTAATTTTTTTATTTTTTTGCTCATGTTTTTTTTTATACATTTTTTTCAGCCACCCAGTGTGCTCTAAAGTCTCATCTGATGAGTAAAAAAAAAAAGAAGCCAAGCCTCTAAAAATAGTTACATTCCAACATGTCAACATTTGAGTTCTGGTTGTTTTCAGCTATGTTGACTTAAAAACAAATCTGGTCCACTGGGCCTCCTTTCCACAGACCTGAGAAAATACAGATCTGCCTCCTTTTCTTTTTTTGTTTTATTCTTTTTCTTTTTTAGGAGTAAACTGATTGTCTAAATCCTGTTGTCCACTTGGAACTTCTGCTGTCATTTCCTTCTGCCTCGCTATCTAAAGCATGTTCAACAATCCTCTTTAAAAATGCCAACTGTAGTAGCTACAGCAAACCAAGACAGAGGGTACAATCAGCACAAATGGAGGAAACCAGGACTGACCGGAGCTGGAGAATCTGGGAAGAAATGGCAAAAAAAAAAGGAAGTTCTTAAAGCAGTGGCTTGTGTTTAACTGTGAACAATAAAGATCGTCTTCAATGTTTTGCACTACAGTTTTGAGTTCTCTGTGGTTCTCTTGGTAAATTTAAGCCGATCTTTTATAAATATTATCTGATTTCTTTTGTCAGGGATAGATTTGTGAGGAGCATGTAGTTAAACCCTTGTCTTTAATTCAGCGTCGAGGAGCTATTTTCCATATTTACATCAAAATACATAATATGGTACAAACTTTTAATTTTAGAAAGAACCTTTGATACAATTTTGGAGAAAATCAATGCACTTTGGGCTTTTCTCTGTTTTTCAGACCTTTGCTTATGACAAAGCAATTTGGTAATATAAAAGATGTTAGTTTTTCATTCAAAAGAGCACTTATTGATTTTTTAAAACATTTAGCCTCATTCCCATTAAGAGGGAGTAGTCAATGTCGTTCTATATGTTTTTTTGGAATAACATATGGACATCTTTTTTCAAATCAACTTAGCTTTGATTTGTTTATTCCTCTGTGATTTATGCGTAGATTAAATATGAATGAAAAGATCAAACTAGTTCAATCTGTAGCCTTTACAAACCATCAATTTACCCTTAATTTAATTAGGTCAAACCATTCCTTTAAATACTTTAGTTTATTAACATAAATATATATTTTTCTTGTAAAATATGGACAACTTGGAGTTTTCACATTCCCGTCAGTGTTACATTTTATGGGCGATTATAAATAAACGTATTTATATTAAAAGTAAATTACATAACCCCTGGAACCATTCTGTACAAACTCCTTTCAGGTTTTCTGGTTTACTGGGTAACTCAAATGGTATTTGGAGATCCGTCATCGGGTTTGTATGTCCACAAAACGTTGAACGCGAAGTTCTGCTTCCATACACATACAAGTCTGATACACTGTGTGAATCTAAACCCCGTGAGAGCAAGGCATCGTCACTTGAAGTCTGTTTTGTACGACTACTAGGCCTTCTTAACTTGTGGACAAGACTACAAGTTTGTCGGGGTAAGAGTCGATCAGCGCTTAAATGACGTCACAGGTGGGATTAATCGAGCCCCGATTTCACCTAACACGGTACGCTCCTAATTCAACGTACGTAACGCAATGCGGGAATTTCGTTTCGATCCCACGTAAATGCGGTCAGCCAGGGTCTAACACCGTTAGTTAGTTTATACTCGATGTATAAGAATACATAATAAAGTTGTATATGTGAAAGATTTTGTAAATATTTGAATGGTTGGAGCCAAAGACGGAAAAAACTGTACATTTAGATAACTAATTTTAAACCGCAGTTAGAAAAGCTGTCCGTTCGAGATGGAGGAAGCGTAGTGAAGGTGTGTTCAGCAACTCGAAGTACACGTTTGTAGCTCCTAATAAAAAAAATGTCATAGGACTATATAAACTACAATTATTTATGCAATACGCGTGTTAAAAGAGCGGCCGGTGTTTGTGGAAAAAAAAAATTATGGACCCTAAGGGTCAGCTATGCTAAATGCTAGCTCTAGCTTCATGTGTACCCCGATAGAGCTGGGCGGCAAAGCAAATAATCATTGGCCTACATGCCAACAGTAAATACAACGTCCCCTATAATGACATCACTTTAACACAGAATAATTAGCATAAATTTCTGAATTTTTAAGGTAATAATTTGTTTGAATGTAGTTTGAATGTAATTCGGTTTTTTTTTCGTTCTTAAAAGGTGCGTTTAATCAATGCTGTCAGCTTCCAAACTGTATATGTTTGTGTACATTTGTGCCCTTAGTTGTCCTGTCACCGCTAGAGGTCAGCGTTGCCCCAAAAACTGGCTCCAGACCCTCCCAAGGTGGGTTTCAACAGGTCCAGGAGCATCAAAAGGACCACGCTGTTTCACAGTTGATGAATGAAGATGATTTATGTGCCCTGGCTCAGCGGTAAGGTCAGTATACTGTCTGATATCACAACTGATGTGAGTATGTCTCCTCCGTTCTTGATACAAAATCCTATGATTTATAATAATAAATACAAATTATAGCTAATGTTGTGAAAGAAGATAATCCCTTAGTTATTCTGAATTCAATCAATAGCGATGAAGATTTACTTTTTATTCAGTTTAAACTTTTGACAAAACAAAAGCTTTTATTCGTGTGCAAATAGTGAACTGAAACCAATTCAAATCCGCACAGTGGCACATATAAAACTCCTGTTCTTTTACAAACACAAACCTGATTTTTTTTTTCTTCACCAACTGTATTTTGTCAGTTTGTTTGCAGTTTATGTGTGAGGGACATGTATGAGATTGGCCGTGTTTTATCAGCCTCCAGCTGCTCCTCATCCTGCTTCGGGGACTTTTTTTTTTTGGGCGAGGATAACCAACCAAGTGTGATTAGTTTATCAAACGCGTGCATATGTATTGCACAAGAGATCGTCCCAAAAAAAAGAAAAAGAGGAAAGGAAAAAAAAAACAAAAAAGTGATATGATTAATTTACCAGCATTCCACGGGGTCAAGGAAATTGATGCAGGATAATTGGGCACATAGGGAATCCTTGGCAATTTGTGCTTTCAGACTCTACTTGAGAAATTAGATGTCAGTGCAAATGTGAAATTGCTCCTCAATGTTCTCAAAGATTCCATGAAATTTTAAATATAAATCTTAAGTATTTCCAGCAGAGGGATTCTTCCCCTTTTTCATGCCAACTTAAAATGAAGCCCTGTGAAAATGATCTAAATGAAATGAAAGTGTATGGAAAGGCAAAGAGGGGAAGGGGGGCATCCAAGCTTGAGCAAAGTTCGGGGCTGCACTCCAAGGAGGACGTTAGGGCTGTTCCTCTCTGTAAAACCCTCATTCAAGTATTTTTCAGATTCCTTTTGACAGAAAGTAAAGTTTGAATTTATCTGAAGACTAGTAATTATCAGATGCAAGATTTGAGCAAATACAATGTAAAATATGACTCCTCCGCTGCATTGTAGCCCCCTTCTCTTTTCTTTTTTCTGCCTTGTGACCGGCACATGATGTATTCACAGGAGTGAGAATAAATTAAACAGGAGTGAATAATTGATTGAAAGGAGCTTGTATTTGTCAATCCAAGGAGGTAATTTGATGATAAAGTTATTATATATGTGCCTGTTTTTCAGTTTGAAAGAAATTAGATTCTTTAAAAAAAAATTACATCCTCTATTTTCATTCTTTGGTCATCAACATAGCATTTAAAAAATTTAGCTTTAGTTACAAGGATTACATAAAATGAATAAAATATAATCAGTGTCATCACAGAGTCTGATCAAATCGTGTTGGAAATTTGATATTTATGTGAGATCAAAACAAACTAATTGCTTGAAAGTCTTGCTCAAAACTCCGAGTTATATTTATTAAATGTTAGTGTTTATTCCTAACGGACATCCAGTGCAAAAGAAAATGCTAAACAAGAATATTTTTGGTAAGCTTACCACAGACTGACACTGTGAAAAACGGCTTCATTTGTCCTCATTAAAAGCTTAAAAGTCCATGAATAAATAATCATTAAAGAGGATACTTTTCCCCCTTTTTGTCTTTGGCCTTATGTAAAATAAACTCACTGACTAAATAAATATGCTCCATAAAGGCTGTTTAGAAAGGCGCCCTCCCCCTCTACTTCCATATTTAGATGGCTGACATGCACCTAAAGATCAGATCCTCCGCTGGCTGTCGGTTTTGGAGGGAAAAATTGGACCTCCGAGAGTCGACTTAACGCAATTAAGTGAAGATGATGAGTCTTTCTCTCTCTGTGTGCTGCTTGAATCCAAAAGCAAGGCGGATTCAAAACTTAAAGGCAAGAAGAAAAGAAAAGAGCGAGAGATGAGCACGCACAGACCGGTCCCAGCGGTTTAATTATTTTAATTATCTCTCCTCTTTCAGCTTTCCTAAAAAAGAGGCCATTAAAGGATGCCCGTTTGGGTTAATCTGATTAAAAAAACAAGATGGAGGGAGAGATGAAAGACTGCAGATGTCAGTGCTAATCAGGGGAGTTAAAACTGCTATTTGTGAACTGGGACGGTTGTTAAAGTTGGTTAGAAAGTGTGTTCAGAGCGGGATTTTTTATTTATTTATTTTTTTAAATATGGTTTTCCTCACTTCAAAACACCTCTTTCCTGCAGCGTTTGTTGATACGCTTCTTTTCACCTACACCATATCTGATTCTCCTTCACGTCTTGCAACCGCACTGTCAGCTGGTCAGGCAAGCTGCACCGAAGGGGAGAGAAAAACTAAAATATATAAGTTTTGTCCCCCTAGCAGTATGGGGTTGTTTTCCAAAAAGGCAGCATTTGGGGGAAGTGATGAAAGCAGCGATAGCAATTAGCCAAAAAAGGGACAGTCGGCCAGGAAGGCAGACGATTAGCAGGCCAGCAGTTTCCCCGTTTTTATCCTGACAACAAAGTTTATCCTAAAGACGCTCTTATTATCCAAGTCCCATGACCAAGTTCAATGAACAATAAGCTAACGTCTTTTTTTTTTCCTTCTGGGGAAAAACACGTCAAGAATTGATGCACTTGAACTTGTCTCGTGTAATGTCTGAACAAGCTTGATGTTTCGCACGAGGAGAAGAAATGAGGGACCCATTACATATAAAAGTCTAAAAATTGCAAATGTTTCTGGGCTGTTTGATTTTCTCATTATTATTATTATCGCGTTAATCACAGGGCAATAATGAGTCCTGTTCATGCAAACATTCCATATGAAATCTTTTTTTAAGAAACAGTCACATCTTGTATTACAGTTGTTGTGGTCCTATAAAAACCTATTTGAATTATTTTATAAATGTGAGTATTTTTTTGTTTGAGATCCAGCATTTGATTGGCACGATAAAATGGAAAAGATCTCTGCTTGCTAATAATTGAACACACGTAAGGTGCCAGATGAGTTGTCTCTGCCTCACTTAGCAGGCCGGTAGCAGCAGCGTCAGCTCTCATAACGCGGGTTGTAGTTAAAGTTCCTGTGACTGCAAGGCTTGACATTTGTTCGGGGAGGAATGAGCACAAAACCAGCACAGGTGTTGAGCCACAGCATGGCGAGAGGAGGAAGGGGGGGTTGGGGGGGGGGG